TCTGCCCCATTAATATTTTCCTTTTCCTTGTTTTCCTTATCGTCCAGAAATCCCATTCGTTTTGCATGTAGTGTTTGTTATTCCTAGTTAGGTGCTTTCCTCATAGTCTCTAACATCTCATCAAGGTCACTACATTCTTCGATTTTCGAAATCACAATCACAATCACAATCACAATAACCGTCCAGGTGCCATTTTGCCCGTTTCTGGTCCATTTTAAGGCCTTTCTTTCTTCCTTCCTCTCTCCACTATCCTAGATCCTACAAACTTCTAACAAATTCCTCTAGATAGTCTAAGAGATGTTCTTTCATCTGCGACGTGTAACCTGCGCTTCAAAATGCCATCTTCATACTCAAAATTCAAATCTGAAACCGACTCCGTCAAAAGTCTCTCAAATTCTTGAAAAATGGACCCCTAAATAATCTAAAACTGCCATAACTTTCTCATATGAATTCTGTTTTGTATTTAAATCTCACAGTATCTTTATCTCATAATTGCACATAGCCATGCCAAATTTCACGCTCCAATGGCTTTGCACAACATAAATAGCGCCCTCTAAAGTTCTGGGAATTGGCTTTCTCTCTGTACCGTATCTCCATAATGGCCTTTTTTGGATTTAGATACTTGAAGATATGCCCTTTCCAGCCATATACAAAATTATATACCCTATCACTAAATTCTTCGTTCTCCGGAAACCCTCATGCGTGACCGTCCAGGCACCATTTTTTCCGTTTCGGGCCGTTTTGGTGACCTTTCTTTCGCCCTAACTATCTCCACTATCACAGAAGCTACAGACTTCTTTCATATTGCTCTGGATAGTCCGAGAGTAGCTCCTTAATTTGACACGTAAAAACATGGCGTCATTGCACGCACATCGTTGTGACACGATTGCATTTCTAGCTTTATAGTTTGGTGTCTTGCTTTGCTTCGGATTGTTTTCTACTGATGATGCTCTGTTCTACAATCTATGTATGTTTATTTTAATATTTATTGAGAATGAAAATAAAGACTAAACTGCATAGAGTCGATCATCAATCAGTGGAGCCATATGTAGTCTCAGCTCAGTGGGACAACCATCGACAATTGTATGCAGGTTTAGGTCTACCCTAATTATTTATATCGCTCTTGCATCTCCATCCAAAGCCCCCCCCCCCGGGTTTTGCCAAAATGGTGCGTTGACTAGTCTTTCACATCAGTCGTTTATAATAGAATTTAAGGAATTGAAATTTAAAGAGAAGGTTGAGTTCTGGGAAGAGGTGAAAAATAATTTGTGAGCATTACTCATTCTTATTATGCAAGTGTGGAAGAACATCAGATAAGACATGTTCCCTGAAAAGCATGGCTCTTCAAATGCCTTCATATTCTAAATATGCATGTAACATCGTAAAAATCGGGGGGCCGGATTTTTACGCCACTTGTTCGTGTAGTCCTATATACATCTTTCTGTGTACAGTGTTTGTAACTTTACCAAGACTTGGCCAAATTTCTTATCATTTTGATGATTCCAGAACATTGCAATACACACAAATTCAAGTTTCAAGTTTTATTTAAATCTTTCTTTCATAACACACTTTACAAATATGACATGAATATAACAAGTTTACAGAATACGGCGTTACAAAAGAAAGATGAGGTGACCTTGGTTGAAAGCAAGGCTTGTGGATTTAAGGTCCCTCATGAGTGGCTTATGAATACGTCCTAAAAGAACAAAACTCGTAAGATAAAAATAAAACATACATTTAAGTTCTTATATGCTAGATGATCAACCTTTTCTGGTCGGTTCCACACCGTTTCTTTCACAATGCAATCGCATGACCAGAACTCAACTTCATCTTTAAGTCGTTTAAATTCAAATAATTAAAATAGAAACAGATTAAAAATTAAATAATACTAATGTTTATGTAGTCTTGCAGATCAGGCGTTTATAAGAATTAAATCAATTAATAAATTCAATAAATATTTTTAAATGTCAAATTAAAATAATATCCATTTCTTTCAATGTATAGAATTCATTTGTTGATGTAAACTATGGTCATGCATAACAGTCTTTACAAATGAAATAACAAATAAATAACGGAGTAGGCCTACCGCCTTAATGCACCCTTCCGAGATAAGGGGGAGGGGGGAGCTTTCTGAATTCCATACATGGAAAGAAATCAATATTTTTCTTTTTACTTGAATAAATAAACGACTGATATGCAAGGCTGTGTAAACATCTTTATTTGACATTTTTGAATATCAAAGTAAATTATTAGATTGTGTTTCTTGTTATTTATTGATTCAATTGTTTATAAACGCCTGATCTGCATGACTACGTAAAAACTAGTTTTATTTAATATTTAATCTGTTTCTATTTTGATTATTTAAACGACTTAAATTCTATTATAAACAAGTGATGTGGAAGACTAGTCAACGCACCCTTTTGGCAAAACCGGGGGGGGGGGGGGGGGGAGGGGGGCTTTGGACGAATGGCTGCGTTCAAGTCAACGCGACTTGAGGAATCACCCTTTTAAATTATAATTTCAAATTGTTGAACGGATGTCCAGAGAAGTCGAAAAACATTAAGTCAAAATTGTAATTACTACTTCTTTACATTTCGAAAAAATGTGACCCAACCCGCTGTTTGAATCGTTTTCCTAGGCAGGCTCTGGAGCTCCCCTAGGTGTAGACAGATATTGTTATTTTCTATTATTATTTTACAGAGGATTTGTAAGGCAAACAGAGAATGTGAGCTTGTGTGTGTAACCGACCCTGAGCAATTTAAAGTCCGGTTTTAAAGGAAAATTCAACATTCATACAGAAAGCATACAAATTGAAGAAGGAAACTGGTGAAGGCTTAAATGAAATCAGAACAATAATAAGAGATTTATAATTGTTTACAACATGAGATAACTAAATCTATGTGAATCCCAAATTGGCAATTTGGTCAGTGGATTGTGACGTACATGTATGTAGTCATGGACAACTCTTCCGTTTGCTCTGTACAAAAATGTTTTAAAATCCCTCCTAATTCTCCATTGGGGCAATAATATTAGGATTGCACACCACCATAGGTCATATAAGAACAGACCCTAGCACTTGAGTATGTTAACATTTTGACAAGGTGGCATTTTAGTCATTTTTGTGTTTTGAAACGAATGGCATAGTTGTCGGCCACTACGTCACAGTGACATTACTAATTTAGCCTATTTGATGTGCCCATACCTATAGTGATTACAACTTTTAAACACTCTAAACTTTCATATATGCCTTGTTCAATTGTTTTCACTTTCACCAATCTGCCTCTCTGACTTTGTTTCTGATTTCTTTCAGAGCACTTGTCCATTAAAATTGGAATGGATTTTCCTTTAAAACCTGACTTTAAATTTCTGAGGGTTGGCTAAAGTAAACTCATTGGCTCACACTCTCTGTTTGCCTTAAAAATCCTCTGTAAAATAATAATAATAATAATTATAACCAAAGAATATCTGGGGGAGCACCTCCCCCCCCCCCCCACTAGCTGGTGCAATGTGTTTTGTCAGTGAATCTATAAATTTCCACCGTTCACAGCATCTGAAATCACCATGCTCTGTTTGTTAATTCCCATTATACTATAGTTTATTTCTTTGTACATGTATACATTTGCTTTTTTTTTTTTTTCGTAATTCTCAAGAAACATGAATTAGAAGGGGGGGGGGAATAATTTTCACATACTTAAAACATTACAAAACTTGGTAATGCCTAGGTCACATTTAAACCGGGCCCTGTACGATTTTCCCTACCCGGCGGCTTGCCTTGGATTTAGAGACCGTACGGGAACCGTCCGATTTTCATTTCTACGGCATGTGTGGTCACATATTCTGCGGCGCCCGGGAGGTGCCCGGTGAAAATTGGTCGAGTGAAATGCAAGGCGCCCGTAAGGATGCCGGCCGATAAGCTTACGTGCTCCGCCGATGAGCAGGTGCACCCGTGGCTCCCGGAGGGTGCCCTGCCGGGAGCCGGCCGGGTCCCGTGCGGTGCACTGAACTATGTTTCCTCTGACATCCGCACCTCTTGTATTTAAAGCTGCGATGTACATTTTGAGATGCCGCCGTGAGGGGCCCGCACGGGCAATATTCATTTCAAATTGCCCCCGGATGGCAGACGCCCGGTGTTGTGCATATTACCCAGGGCTCTTGCGGGGCCCGTGAGGGAGCCGTAGGGTACACGTACGGCACCCTTTAGCACCGCAAGGTGCCCGTAAAGATTTTTCATGAGAATTGACCCCCAAAAATCGTGAGGGGCCCGTCCGGACACCGTCCGGACACCGTCCGGAGCCCGCACGGGACCCGTAAGGTGCCCTGCGGGCTCTTCACGGGCTCTCTACGGACTAACGGTCAGATAAAAACGCCGGGAGAATTGGGAGCAGCCGACTTAGCACCACGGCGCCCGTACAACTTCGAAAACGCCCGTAGGCGCCCGTAGGATCTTTACGGTAGCCGGCCGGACACCGGCCGAAAATTCCCAAAATGTCTGTTTTTACTCGCCCCGGAGTGTATATGTGAAAGCCACATAAGGAGATGAATAATTTAGTTGTTAACTGTACACAATAAACACAATCAGAATAATCCCAATATGGTATTTAATTAGCTGTAATTCATAAACCCTTTAAAGATATATTGTCTCTCTGCAGCAGAGCTGGGGACACCCCTCCCCTTCATTCCCCTCCCTTTCAGCCCCCCCCCCCCGGATATAAGCTAGACCTTCACAATACATTTCTGCCCCTTTGACCTTTGAATAAAGTTCAGTATTAAATCGCATAAGTCAATTAAGTAAAGAGGCAAATATTTAGATGAGGAGAAAAAAAGTGAAAAAGTCAACCATATTGTGTACACTGTACATGTATGTCACTAATATGAGTAATTCACATAGTAAACATCAGAATTCCCTTTTTTGTCAATTACAGGATGTCTTGCTGGGGTTATCATTCATGTACCTTTTCAGCGGACTGAGTTTCTGTTGAATGAGAAGGACATCTTGCAACATGGATGGATTCTGCCTTCTTTATCTGCTCATGATTCTCCTGATGAGATCTGGTGATGTTGAAACCAATCCTGGACCAGACAGGTCAGTCTATATGTATTTGAAGCATATTTCCTGTTCTTTATTGCAACAGTAATAACCAGTAGGGGCTTGTAACAATCACTCATGTAATCACGTTATTATGTTTTTAGTACTTCTGTAGAAACAAGCTGTCTAATCTATGAAGTGTAGGGTTGACACTTTTTTTTTTAACAGGCCGATAATTCACAAATACTCACGCTTTTGCGAGTACGCGACATGACTCCCAGTGTTCGTAACCCCACATTTTATCACTTGAAAATAAAAATAAGTGCTTGTTATTGAGACTAGGCATGACATATATGTCATATATGCACTCTGTTTTTTAGTTTACATAACAATTATAATAATGAACGTTACTTTTATAGCGCACATCATTAACACAAAGAAAGTCCTTTTGCACTGAGAAAGCAAGAAAATAGAGTTAGGGCAGTAAACAAAAATGAACATTTACACTGTATGCCTGATATACTTATGCAAATAATTAATTACAAAAAACAATAATTATACGCCATTCTTAAATAGCTTACTTGTAATAGGTTGTACATTCAGGAAATACAAATTTGTAAATGAAAATTAAATATGGTACATGATACTATAACCAAAGAAGTCACTAAACATCTTGAACGCAATTATCAATGTACGAAAAGATAGGTCTTCAACAGAGTCTTAAATGACTCTTACATGTTCTCCTGGTTAACGTCAGTACCTTTGATGGGTGGGGGATCCGGCCACTGACTTTCAGATAGAGTTGGCCTCTATAAAGGCATCCAAAATCATGGCTGGAGAAGCACACATGTTTCCTTCATAAATGTTAGTCTCTTCTCAGGGACAATATACATGTATCTTGTTAATATGTGCGTCAAGTATCATCACTGTAGTATGTACATGTTTTGGAATAGTATTTCAAAGAAATGTTGGGTCACGTAACCCAACACTTCGTTGATAAGATAGAGTGTTATACAAAATGTCTCAAAACATGTCATGATAACGTCATTATGTGAGTGATTGTTACAAGCTGAAGCCAGCAATATGATTACCGGTAGTCAAATCCTTTTCTTATTATTAAAGCGTAACACAACAAACATGCATGCTAAATTTTCTTCCATATTGTCAACTGTAGGGCACTGCTTAATGAGCCTTGTGTGTGTATGCCTCAATACCGGTATACCTTTAAATATATCTTAATTATTAGTACATGTATCTTGATAAAATCAGGTACCGGTAGGTATATGCGCATGAAGCTGTAGGTATTGACAGTGCTCAACTGTTGGAGCTAGTGTACATATATTTGTCGGCTGGAGTAGTTTATTCTTCCATATAGTTAGTTGTACAGTTGGTTTCGACCAATGGCTCATCAGCAACTGAACCAAACTAGCCAAGTATGAAGATAGGTGCTTAAATCAATGTACTGTACAGCACAATTAGAGATGTTTAAGAGATACTTATGAGATACAATGATAAAATGTTTTCTTTTATTACAGGATTGGGATTGAGAAGGAATTCTTGAAGCTTTCCAAGCTGATTGGACCTAGCTACTACAAAGAGGTTGGCATTAACCTTGACATCTCCATCGCAGAGCTTGGTCAAATCAAGGATCATAGCCCATGTACCAGTGATGCATTGATGACAGTGTTCACGAGATGGAGAGGCAAACAGCCTCCAGGCACAGACATCAGGACTCTTCTTGCAGAGGGATTAGAAAGAAGTGACTTAGGGTCCCTCTCTGGCGAACTACTCGCTGGCAGTCTGGTCCCGAAGCGGACAGGTGAGAATAAGAAGGAAATATCATCTTGGCTTCCCGCAAGAAGGTCTTTACTGCCATTGATAATGTATTGCTTTTGCAGGACGCAGCCAACAGACACTGTTTTACCTCGTTTGGTACAACCGTTTTTTAGTTTGGTACAAATAGGGTTATGTATAGCAGGACATCCTAGTAGACGAAGAGCCCACAAGACTGATACTGCCAGTCTGGTGAACCCTAAAAATAGTTTTCAGAACACCCATGAGACTGGCAGTCTTGTGGACTGTCAGTCTATGTGTCGTTGGTCTCATGACAACTTTTCAGATGATTCACTAGACAGATATTGTCGGTCTTGTGGGCTGTCGGTCGCATGGGCTGTGGCCATTAATACATGGTTACAGATCCACTCACTTTGTGCTGTTTTGAAGGGAGATAATGCAATTAGTTTTACATGAAGCTGTACAAGGTTTGTCATTCACATTTCTTGGCATTTCAAGCCCAGGCATTTTCTGACTATTTTTTCTTCAATTCATGCTCATCTTTTGACAGCAAGTTTATGAAAATTGTACCATTACAGAATCGTTTTTATCTTTTATGACCTTGTGTCAGCCCCAAAATGGAGAATTTCTGATTTTTGTGTACCAAAAAAGAGGAAAACTTGTTTCTCTTGATTCTTTTTTATATCTTGTGGAAATGTTCTTTGAGCTGTAATTCATAAGGTTTATAGGGTTCATTATTATTGTCCATACTATTAGCGATGGAAATTATTGATATTTACATGTTATATATGGATACATATTAAATAGACATACGTCCATACAAAAAGACAAATTCTATTGAGATACTTTTAAGATAGAAAAGAAAACAAACATAGACAAGTCATGCATCAACAATAGTATACATGTATGATGTGTAGAAACTAAACTGCAAAGACAATAAAGTATATTCTCATCGAATCTTGGTCCAGAGAACACCCTCAAACAGCAAGACTAACAAAATGAAAATGTAAATTTGACAAACAATAAATACATCAGAAATTTGTGTGTATGTTCATGTACAATGTATGTGTTATGAATATCCTCAAATCATTTTGATATTCAGAAAAAAATTGTCACACTGTTATTAAATTTAAAGGTGCAACTGTTACAATGCCCGGATCACAGACCCATCCACTTTCTCCTGACCTGATCAAGAGGTGTGCAGATGATTTCAAATTTAAGTACCGGACAACTCTCTGTAAGATCAGAGCTGATCCTCTCAACCCTGATTCCATTGTACAATTAAAAGACATGTTCACAGACCTTGTACTGGAAGAGGAATATCGACAACGCAAGCGACCACTTGAGTACAGAGATCTCTTTGATCTTAAAGTCAATGGAGAGTTCCCCAAGCGGATCATGATTCAGGGTGAGGCTGGGGCTGGAAAGACAACATTCTGTGCGAAGATTGCCTGGGACTGGATAAATGACAGTCCTATTCTCCCAAAGTTTGTGTGGGTACTTGTTATCCCTTTTCGTGAAGCCAAGCAATACACGATCGGTGAGATTGCCAAGTCGTATCTCTCCAAGGACAACCCAGCAACAGCCTGCCAGATCACTGAGTACATCCGCTCAAATCCTAAAGATGTATTCATTGCGTTTGATGGATTAGATGAGTTTGGTGACAAGGCTGTAGGGCAAAAGAAAGCTGGTTCAAAATCAGAATGTCTCCAGCCACAGTCCGCTGATCAAACCAAGGCAAGAGGAAGTTCTTCAGAGAGAGGTGACATTGCACTTGGAGACATTCTAAGTTCAGATGAAATTGCTACTTGCCCGGTGTTGGTGACAAGCCGCCCATGGAAGGTTACAGAGATTCGATGGGATGATAGTCTGAGGAAACTTTACACTTTCATTTATGTGGAAGGTTTTAGCAAGGAGAATGTGAAGAATTACATTCACAAGTACTTTCAAGATGATGGGGCCACAGCAGATCAGCTAATCCAATTAACCGAAGACAATGACATCATATCTGAGAATATGGCCCCGTATCCTCTTTACATAGCTATGCTCTGCCTTATGTGGAGTAAACGTGATGACGAAAAACAAGAAAAGTTTAAGTCATTAGAAACTTTTTCTCAAATATTTGATGAAATGTTTGAATTCTTGAAGGTGCATTATACTCAGAAAAAGATCACAGATTTAGACAGCCCATCTTTCCAAACCTATCGCGCTCAAATTGAGAAGCTCATGGAACCAGTTGCCAAAATTGCTTTCATCGGGCTACAAGACAACACCCTTACTTTCAAAGAAGGTGATTTCGAACAGTGCTCAGACTCCATTGAAACAGCTTGCGGAGTAGGAGTGCTGTCTCGCGAGAAAAAATTGTCACCTATAAATGATAAGAGCAGTCCGTTCCTGCAGTCTACTATCTACTTTCCACACAAGCTTTTTCAGGAGTACATGGCTGGGGTCCATCTTGCTTCCCTGTATGAATCAGATCACAATGAATTCAACAGGCTGATAGAGCAAGTAGTGCTGCCTAGGCAGGAAGAGTTTAGGCATCTACTGTACTTCACTGTATCCCGTAACAAAACCATTGCAAACCATGTCATGAAATGCATGGTACGGGGTAACACCTCAAACCCAAAGGAGATGGATTTCTTGGTTGATGTATCCTTTGAGAGTCAGAACCTAGATACCGTATCCTTGGTGAGGGGTGGAATGTCATCTCTGACAATAAAGCCATTTGTGACGGCACACACCATAGCAGGTTATATATTCACTGGACTACTAGATGTGGTAAGTTTGATATCTATATACTTTAATAATTATTATTACTTAAAGGGGATTTCCACCCTAATATATAGTTGATGTGAATAGAAGCAGAAAATGATAAAAACAGGTCAGTGACAGTATGAATAAAAAATGATTACAAGGATTTGAATTTCATAACTTTCCTTTTTTAAATCGGATATTGCTCAAACTTTCAATACATGTTTTTTTCATTTTCTCAGTGCTTTTGTCAAAACCAACTTAATATCAGGGTGGACTTCCCCTTTAATTGCAAATCCATCAGGCATCTATAGACATGCATTCTTTAAGAATGGGTCTTTAATATGCCTATTTTTCACTCCTTCACATCCATGACATGATAATCTGTGATATAATCAAACCAATTCATTGTGTTTCCACTTTTAAACAACATGTATAAATCAATGACAAGTTATAATCTGTGATATAATCAAACCAAATCATTTTGTTTCCACTTTTAAACAACATTCATAAACGTATGACAAGTTATTTTTGTAAATAAAAGTGGCAGGGAATAAAGAGCACTATACAAAATCAAATTGAAGAAGTATTAAATACTTCATACACAAAATATCATTTATGAGAGAAAGAAAGTGAAGAGAAGGAAACGGTAATAATAAATTTGTACATATCTTCAAGGAGATGTCTTTAGTACAATATTTGACACTAATGATATGTTCAAGTGGATAAATACTAATGATGATAATTGATGTGTTCCTTTTTACTTTTTCTGTTTTGGTTGGGGGGGGGGGGTGTTGGTATAAAACATATTGCCCTCATCTCCAGCTCAGGCATTGAGATAATACATGCGTAGTATCATTGTATATACCCATTACTGTTACAGGCATATGATAAATATCAACAGTACTATTTGAATAAGTTTATGGGACTACCAACCATTTTCTGGTCAGAAAATAAGCCATCTTCGTGAAGTGGCATTCTGAACAGCAGTTTTGCTGCAACCAGTCCTCTTGATAATTTGATGCTCAGACTTCAGAGTAACCCGTTTGATAGAGGGAATAATTTAGGGCCCTTTGAAAATGGCCTTTCTTTACCATGCTGCATTACAGACAAATTGTTCTACCAGACTTTCCTTTGCCAAGACAAATTGGAATCATAGGCTACATAGCACTATTCTGATGATATGTACCACTCTAAAATACAAATTCTGCAATCATTTAATGAGGCAATCTTAAAGGTATTACAAAGTTTTGGTATGGGGTCTTAAAATTTGGTTCAAATGAAGATATTGGAAACATGTGCGATTTTACAATATTCAATGAACGTTGTCGGGGTTGAAATCAAGTCTAAATTGATTAAATTGTATAGATAATAAACTCTTTTTGTTGTATAGCTCCCTCTCACAACTGAAATTACTTTAGCTTTAAAACAATGTTTCTTGACTAAATCGACCAATTTGCTATTCCTGTTTGGAAATTATATCAGAACTGCATATTCTAAAATTTTCATAGATCGCAGCTATCGTGGAATGGCCTCAAGCGCTAATTGAAATAATTGAAATATACCGGGAGCACCGGTAAATTTTGATTGCTCAATTTCTCGAAAGCAGTGTTTTAGGGGCTAAATTTTCGAGTGCTTATCAAACATTCACAGGGGCATCCAAATATATCAAAATTTTAAAGAATTAATATCCATCCAATTTTAAAATTTACCAAAACTTTGCATTACCTTTATAGGCATCGTTTAGCAATTTTTAATCCGAGATGCATGGCCCTACATGTTATCAGTGTCTTTGGTATGGTAGAATATTGAAGCCCTAACGAAATTATCAAGAAGTGCCTCAAAAAAGTAAAAATCTTTGAGTGACCGGTTTTGCCATACTCGTCTCCCCAATAGACTGTAGTGATATGAACACCGTTAGGAAAACGCAAAATTTGATTTCGATTTCCAATCATAAATATCTTGATAATCAGACAGGCGATCGGCTTGTAATAGTCATCAGGTTCCTGACTGACCTAAAAGTTAATAATTATCATTGCAGCATGAGCTCAATCCAGGATTTTGTTACAGAATCTGAGACAAAGTTAACCAATCCCTTTAATGCAGGCCCAGTGACAGAAGGAGGTCTTTAAAGTTTAGAAATGGACTCTGATTTTTGTCATATCATCATTCTTGTTTGTTTTTGTATTTGTTTTTGATTTTGATTTAAGAACGATCTTGGGGTTAATGGTAGACAATTTGGACCAATTATATCTCATGATGTGGCGGGGATTATATGCTCTGTGCCCTCTCTAAAAGATGTTACACTGAAACAAACAGCCTTGCACAGTGACTTCTATGCAGTTCTTGCTAAAGAAGGAAACAAGTCCAAGGTGAGTGAAAATACATATTGTAATTTTATAGTCTAGCCTATGGGGGGGGGGGGGAGTACTTTGTCAAGACACAGAACATCAATCACTTGAAAATCGTGAGAAATCACTGTGATTACAGTCAGAAAATAAAGTTAGGTTGGGTTGGGAATTGATGGTGTCCTTTAGCTGGCAAATAGATATACAGAGGAAATGAGGAGTATGAGTGGTCTTCTCCATTTGAAAAATTAAATTAATGAGGAAATACAGATTGCAAGTAAAGATTAAGAACAATGACGAGGGAAGGGCCTGGACTCGATGGAGGGGTTCTTTTTCATGTGTATTTCATACATGCAGATATATTTTCATAATATACTCATATTGAATGTTACCATTAAATTATATTTCTCGTATTATTCATATACTACAAATACGGATTGGAACTAATGACATTGTTGTTGTTCTTCTTGTTAATATTATTTTTGTTGTTATTATTACTACACTGTATCATCCGCAAGTTCTTTGTCGTTTAACAAAATTGTTGTTTTTACTGTCCACCATGGTCGTCTACTTGTGAATATACGTGTCACAGGTTGTGTTGCAGTGCCACGTCACAACTACGGCAAACAATACGGGTTGCATATAACCATAACTGCACAGTGAATAGAGCAACAATGCATGCTCAATGACGTATTCCTTCAGTAGAATATTTATTGAAAATCATGTGACAAACAATCCTCTAATCAAATTACAAGAATTTGCTTATATGTTATATAAAACCAATCATATGAATAATATACATGTACTATATGGACATTAACCGTGGTTCATGTAGAAGTGTTTGTGGTCCAATGTATAGGGTTCACATTATTGCCATACGTAGCACTAATGTTGTTTGGCAAGACATTAATCTACATTTGCCATATTTAACCTCGGTGTAGTAAGTTGGTACCTGGTAGGATATACATGTATTCCTTGAGTGCTTTATTATGTAGTATGTAGCAAGTAAATGCACTACGGCTGTAATTGTTGTTTGACATATGCTCTGTCAACATTTATTCTGTGCTTACTATCCTGCAATAAACAAATTCCAAACTTTAACCCTGCACCAAAAAGTATACCTTTCACAAAAGCTAAGCTCAAACCTATTCTGCAACCCTCCAAGTCCTATATATGTGACTAAATATTGCCTAGAGCATTTGTCACTTAGCATAGCCATACACATACATGTATCCACGCACCCAGTTATATTTGCAGTCATTTTATAAAAACATATACTCTGGTGATAAATGTACTTGTATGAATCACTATTTGTATTCATGTAGGTCCAAACTCTCTGTCTTGAAGGTATTAAGTGTCCAACATCAACCTCATCACATCACCTAGCAGAAGCGTTGTGTTCCATGCCAAACCTGACCGACGTGACACTAGATGGGAATGATTTCCAGGAAGAGTTCTATTCTACGCTGAATGCAAAGGCGTCAACCTTTCATGTATGTATGTGTGTTGTACTCTATATCAATGCCATGATGAATACATGTACACATATGGGCAATGGAGATGAGTTTGAGGATTTATGATGTATGAGCCACAGTGAACCTCTTTTTAATGTATATGATGTTTTTAAGGAAAATATTATAGTCTTAGCAGACAAAGGATCAGTATGATAAAGAGGGTCTTTCTTTTACAGTATATAATAGAGACTTCCTATAGCTGGAGTTGAAAAAATGTTCTGCACAAAAATTCACCTTTGAAGGTTCATATACAGTATTTTGGTTTTTGATGGAGACTAATTTAGAAGTGTTGAATTAAACATGTTTTGGGGATAGGGGTGGCTCTCACTGATTTTGTAATGTAAAACCGTGCACCTAAAAGTATACCTATCGCTACAACCTTAGCTCAAACCTACTTGCAGCCCTTATCCAAATGTTATTTATTTATCTTAATAAAGCCCACAGCAATTGGCACCTGGGCATAGCCATACACATACATGTATCCACGCACCCAGTTATATTTGCAGTCATTTTATAAAAACATATACTCTGGTGATAAATGTACTTGTATGAATCACTATTTGTATTCATGTAGGTCCAAACTCTCTGTCTTGAAGGTATTAAGTGTCCAACATCAACCTCATCACATCACCTAGCAGAAGCGTTGTGTTCCATGCCAAACCTGACCGACGCGACACTAGATGGGAATGATTTCCAGGAAGAGTTCTATTCTACGCTGAATGCAAAGGCGTCAACCTTTCATGTATGTATGTGTGTTGTACTCTATATCAATGCCATGATGAATACATGTACACATATGGGCAATGGAGATGAGTTTGAGGATTTATGATGTATGAGCCACAGTGAACCTCTTTTTAATGTATATGATGTTTTTAAGGAAAATATTATAGTCTTAGCAGACAAAGGATCAGTATGATAAAGAGGGTCTTTCTTTTACAGTATATAATAGAGACTTCCTATAGCTGGAGTTGAAAAAATGTTCTGCACAAAAATTCACCTTTGAAGGTTCATATACAGTATTTTGGTTTTTGATGGAGACTAATTTAGAAGTGTTGAATTAAACATGTTTTGGGGATAGGGGTGGCTCTCACTGATTTTGTAATGTAAAACCGTGCACCTAAAAGTATACCTATCGCTAAAACCTTAGCTCAAACCTACTTGCAGC